CGGTTCCGCCGCAAATCTTTTCCTTTGGGTGGGCGAATCGACGCACGGGGACGCGTGTAATGGCGCGATTCGGATTGCGTTTACACGTGTTCTCGTGCGGCGTTCGCGAGGCCAGACACCGGATCGTTTTATTGTTCCGTAAGTTTTGATTACGTGAGATGCAATCATATCACAACCCAATCGTGAGACAAGCAAAAACGAGAACGAAATCGCTATCAGGGCCAAATTCTTATCCCATCTACAGCTGCATCAGGTGTAGGTAAAGATACGACGCAAACAAAGAGCAAGGGCAAGGATTCTCAGCAAAAAGATAGATACGCAAGCATAGCCTCCATACATCCATTCATTCAGCAGTCATACACATAATGCGATCGAGGCGGACATTGCAAGGACAAGTGTGAGCAAAAACCCAAGTTCAGATTCCAGAAAGCCGAAATGAAAAATAGGAACGGGCAACCCGCCCGGAGTCGTAATCAAAATGTATGTACACAGATGGAGAGGGGGAAGAGACAAAGAAACAGCAAATCCGCATCCATGGACCTCAACTCTCTTCTCCTCTCTCTTTCTTTCTTTTCCAATGCGGACAGTCCGTCGTCTTGCACCAACCCATGAACAAGCATGAAGTTGTCACCCCGCTTAGCCCTTCCGCACCCGTCAGATTCGCCCGTGCCCACAGTCCGTCGTGGCCCACGTCAATCCCGCGCGTTCGTCACCAGCCCGTCGGGTCGCCCAACTCCTACTCTACTCACCTCTTACTTTGCTCGTGTGCCGACCCTTCGCGCAACCCCGAGCTTCCAACAACGGGTTAAGAGAGTTGACTAATCGCGCAGCCGAAATTTATAGTGTGCATGCATGCGCGAAGAACACGGAATTACCAGGACTTAGAGCGGGGATTAGAGAGGGAGCGCCAGCGTTCTGCATGATCGGGCCGCGGCGTGGGGGACGTAGCCCTTCTCCACGCATCGATCCGAGCATGCAAGCCGTGGTTTAGGAAAATTTCAGCGACAGAAAGAGAAGGAGGGTGGGAAGGACAAGGTGCAAGAAGGAAGATACAATTACAATGGCGCCCGCCCAAAATTACGGTTACACACACGATTAAAGGCGCCTACTAAAAACAGAATACCGTTGAAACCGCGAAAAGAAGCACGTGGACAAAAGGCGCCGCGCGGTGAGAAAAATCCTAATTACTGATTTCCTAATTCCTATCTAATGCGGAAAAGCAAAAAACATGAATTCCAGGAAGAAAGTCCAAAATTCCGAGAGCCATCGGGGGCTCGACAAAATTCGAAAAAGAGATTCAAATGGAAATTAAAAAAAGAACGAAGCAATTTCCCACGCGATGTCCGCGCCCAAAGGATTGAAACCGAAACGAAAGAAACGACGTCAACATTTATTAATCGCGCTTGGTGGCGCGCCAGTCATCCAGCCGACCAATCAATCAACCGGCCATCCCAGGACACACCCAGCTCCGAACCCAGCCATTCGAAAAGAAGCGACGAAAAAGACGAAAAAACGAAGACACTGATGCAATTTTTCCATTGATCCCGATCTTCCGTAATTGGCCTTATCTTCCCAGCTTAGGACCCCTCGTTGCAACCACGCAGAAAATCGCGCGTTACAGAAAGTGGTTCGTCACATATGTGACGCCCAGGGGGTTCCAATATTAGCAAGCTCCTGCTTGCTTGTTGACACTTGTCGATTTCTCTAATCGATCGACACGCGGAGCGCTTCTCTCCATGCCACTTACCGTTCAATTGCGTGTGGACGTCATTCAACGTGGCAACACTGCTCTTCTACTATTTCCTCAGATTGGGCTCTCGATGATCCAAGGACGGGACCTTTCTCGTGCCGTCGCCGCGACACGCATCCATTACCGCTGCATCAGTAATTGACCGGAAGGGGGAAAGGAAGTCGGTACATGGCGGCATGGCGGGGCGGAGGGTTTATGGGTAGCGGGGGTAGAAGACTTTTCATTCCGGCTACAGTCTCCGGGAGCTCCTGATAACGAACAATGCGATGAAAACGGGGGAATCGATTGCCAGTGCGAGGGAGGGACGTGAGATAATCGGGGTAGAGGGTGGTAAGAGTTTGGAAGAGCGCCGCGCGGAAACGATCGCGATCTTCGCATGCGGGGATGGTCCCCGTTATCACGCAATAAACCTCAATCATATTGTGGCCTCGCCACGTGGCACTGAGGAGCAAGACATGGAGGCAAAAGGTCGGGACGGCGCATCGGAGGGAGGGATGGGGATGCACTACTACAGCGAGGCGAGCGGCGTAGAAGTGACGGAAGGTGTTGCGGGGGAACAGATTGGAGGGGAACGTGACGGGGGTGGTGAGCTGGCGGAGGGTGAGGTAGTCAAGGGGACGGCGAGAGAGTAATCGGGGATGAAGGCCGATCGCCCGTATCGGTACGTCGGCGAACTGGGGGACGGGTTGGGGAGGAGGGGGATCGGCTCCGTCGTCGCGCTGATGGGGCCGGAGTCATGGCCGCGAGGTCGCCATCTTCAGGTCGGGGCAGCTCCGGATCTCTGTTCGGGTCGTCGTGGATCTGCAGACTCGTCGTGCTTGCGAGCTCTAACTCCTTTTTCCCGGCCGCGATCTCTTCTCTTTTGCGTGCCGCCTCGGGATCCTCAGCCTCTGTACCCGTACGCAGCGCTTCTTCCGGCACGGCTTCCCACTCCGATCCAGCAGATTCTTCTTCGTGCCCCTCTTCTCCCTCCTCGTCTTCTTCTTCTTCTTCGCTCTGTTCCCCCTCGCTATGCTCGCTATAGCTTCCTTCTTCAGGGGTTTCCTCTTCTTCTCCGAGCACTTCATCGCTATCCCCGCCTTCTTCCATCCCGTCTCCGTCTTCGTCACTCCCGGTGCTCTCTTCTTCCTCCTCTTCTTCTCGAATGGCAGCAAACTGCTCCGCCGTAGGGTGCCTGAAGAAGGCAGGATCGCGAGCCGTCCGGGGATCCAAATATTGTTGCTGCGACGGCGGGATGCGCTCTGCGGCTCCCTCTACGCAAGCCGACCACTGAAGATATTAAGGTGTCAATGTGCGAGAAAGCACATGGGGAACTGCATGCTCGTCGTCTTGCGAGAAGATGTCGAGAGGGAGATCATCCGCCAGCTGCGTTACCAGGATCGTGAGCTCTTGCGTGATAAGTTCCTGATGACCGAGCCGCACTGTACCGAATAAAAACGCGAGAAGCTCTCCCTCCACGTTGGTGCGCCAGGCCTGGATAAACAGCAACTCCAGGCGCTCTATGCAAGGCGGGTGCGCTTCGTCCTCGGTCCATATCAGTCGTACCTCAACCAAGCACAGTGAAAGCTCGATGAAGTCCTCGCGCCACAGGATCCAATGGGGAGGATGGAGAAGGGGGACAGCAAGGGGCTTTAGACAATAGGAAAGGCGAGGATGGATGTCGAACTGCCAGAAGGTGGGGAAGGTGGAGGGGAGATCAAAAACGGAGATCGGAGGGAGACTCATTGGGGATGGGGGAAGGGAACGAGGACAGGGAGATCTGCTGGTGGATCGCGCTGATACATCCGAAGGCCGTCGTATTCAATCGCTCGTGACGTTGTGAACGTATCCCCGGGACGAGCCAGAAGCTGGGTCCACTCGGCGACCAGATCATTTGCCCACGCGCGTAACGATGCCTTCACCGTTGAATGTCGTAAGGGAAGGAGCGTGGAGAGATCGCCCCGGAAGTTGATGATAACCGATATGCGGCTGACACCTGGCACCGCTCGCTGATGGACTGCTACTGCTTCGGCCAGTACCACCGCGTCAGGCCGGCCTTCGATTCTGAACACCGCCGCTGCGTACACGCCTTCCGTGCAGAAGAAGTGCGCAAGCCGCCGAAGGTCTGGACTGAGGCAGGGATGATAGATCTGCCGGATCGTCAATCGATCACGGGGCGCAAGCGCTGCTTCGCTGAGGGCTCTCTCCTCCAGAAAACTCATGGCGATGGCGACGGTGACGGGGAGGCAGAGAGGGAGCAAGAGGAAGAGGGAGATGCCGGAGAGGCAGAGCCGTCGTCGTCGGCTTCATCAGAGAGAGAAAAAGAGGGAGAAGGAGACGGAGCAGAGGGGAGGAGGCGAAGATAGGACACATGGCGTGTAATCGGACGAGCCGATCGACTGCGAGAGACCTCGGGGGCGAGACGCACGGTGCCCACACCGTTAGGCCTGAGCTCGATCACGCGATATCGCCCAAAGAATCGTGGCGCTAGCTTACGCTGGCGAGCACATTTCCTTATCTGCACTACGTCCCCTAATTTGTATTGGGGCCGCGGACCCGCATTCCCATTTCGGGCCTTGTAGCTTCGGACCTGTCGGCCTTGGGCTAGTTCAGTCATTTTCTGTCGTTTTCGGGCTAGCCTGGGCAGTGACCGTTCCATTAACTCTAGGTGTCGTTTGAACTTGTCCCGAGCCGTGGCCCTGGTGGGCCGTCGGTTCAATGTAGACTCATCTGGGAGGCTTGGTATCGAATTGCAAGCGACGCTATTAGTCCTTAATTGGAAGGGGCTCAACCCTGTCGATTCATGGGGCGTTCCGCGGTGGACCGCCAGGATGTGATCGACGATATCGGGCCAGGGCCTCGGATCCCGTGCTATGATATTTCGCCGCAATGCTGTCTTTATCACCCGATTAGCGTTTTCGACCAGCCCTTTGGTGGGGTGCAGTGTTCCGTATGGCGACGCCATGTAGGACCAGATTCCTTAGCATTTCTCCCCTGAATTCAGCCCCGTTGTCGGTCAGGATCTCTTCCGTATCCTGATGCATCCCAAGGAAACGGTTGACATATCGCGCGATTTCCGTGGCTTGCCACCGTGGCTTGCCACGTGCGACAAGGATACGCCTCGATCCATTTCGAGAAATGGTCGACAAATACCAATAAGACTGAATATTCACAACTATTAGGGCCAGGGGGCACCACTATGTCGGTAGTGTCTATACTCACTCTTTGAAATGGCCGTTCAACAATCGTGGGCACTATCGATCTTGGTGGCTGAATCGGCGCTTTATCTGCGGCGCAGACTTGACAGTTGGCAACGATGTATTTCACATCGTCGCGGATATTGGACCAGTACCACTCATTTTTGTCAATAGCGGACTCCGTGATTCGTACGGCAAAATGGGCCGCAGTTTCCTCGTGGGCTGTCTTAACCCAGTCATACCGCATGAACGGATGCGGTACCACCATCCAAATCCCACTGCCGTCCGTTTTCCGTTTTTCTAATCTACCTTCTATCCGTCGATAATCCCGAGCCCTTTCGTTGGCCCTCCTCCGATCTTCCTTGGTGAAATCCTAGAGGGGGTTACCTACTAGGGTGGCAATTAAGGCAATATTAGTCCATACTTCGGCCCTTCTAAACTTCCGGGTCTTTTCCAGCCCTTCTGACGTGGCATCCAAGAAGTGAGCCTCGGTCGGAATCTTGTCGGTCCGGCACAAGGGATACAACCACGGCTTACTATCGTTTCTGTATTGGATGCACGAGCCATGGGCTCGTGCGACGCACTGTCGGCAGTCTATCCAATTTGCATACCCTTCCCCGTTAGGACGCATGGAGACCGAATATACGCGGGAAATAGCTTCGCAAAAATAGCAAAATTTGTCAGGCAGGGAGAGGAGAGACAAGGAGGAAGGGGGGGAAAGAGGGGTAGTGGGGTTACCTCCATCACCCATCGCCACGGTTTTGCTTCTTGCCACGTGGGAGAACTGCCACTTGTCCGTTCTTAGGCTCGTTGGTCAAGTCCGGCTCTTTCCACGGTGTAATCTCCTCGCCCTTTGGTACCTTGGCAGGTCGATGCAGACGTGTCATCCCGTCCGCGTTGCCGTGTCGCTCTGTCTTTCAATGGACGATGTCGAAGTCGTATTCTTGCAGTCGCACCGCCCAACGGCTAATCATGTCCGTGTAGTTGGTGAGCTTCTTCAAAGCTAGCAGAGGCTCGTGATCCGTCACGAGGCGAAACTTCTGTCCGTAGAGATACGGATGGAAGCGTTGGATTCCCCAAACTACCGCATAACATTCGCCTTGAGGTGCGGAGTCATTTCGGCGTTCATCTGGCACTTTGCGTGACGCGTATTCGATGACGTGTTCACGACCATCGTTCCCCTTCTGCGGTAGAATAGCGGAAATAGCTTCCGGTTGCCAGTCCGTAATGAGAATGAACTGCTTCGAGGGGTCCGGCCGAATCAAAATAGGGGTCGTCGCTAGAGCGTCCTTGAGGGTTGCAAAGGCCTGCTGGCACTCCGCGTCCCAGCTGAGAGGCTGGTCCTTCCGTAGCAGATTCGTTAGTGGTCGTGCAATCGCAGCAAAGCCCTTGATGAAGCGCCGGTAGTACGACGCCAACCCCAAGAAGGCTCGAACCTCCGTCAGTGACGTGGGAATCGGGGCTTCTTTCACTGCCGCCACCTTTCTTGAGTCCGGTCGTAACCCTCCACGTGTCACGACGTAGCCCAAGAATGAAATTTTCGAGAGGAAAAATTTGCTCTTTTCGAGCGCAATCTTGAACCCGGCGTCTCTCAATGCGCCCAATGTCCATTCAATATGCTGCGCGTGCCCGTGATAGGTATCCGAATAGACCAGGATATCGTCCATGTACACGATCACGCAGAAATTAATCATCCCTTGTGTCAGTCGTGTCTTGTTGACGAAATTCTGGAACGTCATGTTTATCGCTCGCTGAAACGTGGCAGGCGCATTGCAAATCCCCATCGTACATCGAAACCATTGCCACGTGCCCTCAAACAGTACAAAGGCCGTCTTCGGCCGATCTTCCTCCCTCACCAAAATATGATGGAAGCTATGCCCAATATCAAACTTGCTAAAATAGTTAGTGCATCCGATCACATCCAACAAATCATCAATCCGGGGGAGGGGATACACATCTTTGATCGTAATGATCTCATTCAGCTTGCGATAATCAATGCAAATGCGAATCGCTCCGTTTTTCTTTGGTACTAATACTACGGGAAATGACCAAGGTCCGGTAGTGGGTTCAATCCAACCGTTTCGAATTCTCGAATTCGCTCGAGGGCCTTTTTGCGTTCAATCAAGGAATAGCGGTAAGGTTTGCAATGATTCGGGGAGTGATTTCCTGTTTGAATCTCATGTTGGATAACTAATGACAACCCAATGTCAATGTCGGTCATACTAATCGCTCCTTGGTATTCCGTTAGGATGTATGCAATCACCCGGTGGATTTCATCTGGGACGTACTGTGGAACGTGTAGTTCGAAAGATTGGTCCCAGATCCGAACGTCAATCTGTTTTGTGCGCGCCTGTTTTGCCACGTCGGGGGAAGGCGCCGAGATGAACGAATGGTCCGATCGCCAGGAGAACACCGTGGCCATCATCTGGGCGTCTTCTTCCCGGATTCCCATGTGTCCTTCCGGGGTAATCCCGTCACAAACATCCTGCCATGGCACGTCCTTAGTTGCGATCTTTATCCCCAGTTCATCTGTTTCTGCTTCAAAACGCCCAGAGGGTTCCAGAGAACTTGCTTCCGCCCCCAAGCGTAACAATCTCACTTCTTTAGCAGATGTTAATAAGGACTTGGGTAGATCCGTAATGTCACAATAATGTTTCTTGTCGCTATACCGAGCGAGGAGAGGGGTGATCCCTTTGTATAGAGTTTGAGGGGGTTCCAAAGAATCGACCATCCTCGAAATCTGCACGAGGGGGTCTCCCAAGATCATCGCCTTGGTCCTTCGAATTTTTCGGTTGGTCAGTTGCATCGTTCTCGCTATCATTTTGGGCGGTGGGTAGTAAACATGCTGTCGTGCTAATTTCAAGATCTACGGATCATCTTCGTCACTGCTGTCCGCATCATTCGTCGATGACTTTCCATCTGCGGATTCATCACAGGAGATCATGCGGAGCGTCCCTGCCATCATCGGCGAAACCGGTGGGACCGTGTTAATGGTAGTACGAAGGGTCAATCGCATAGGCACAGCGTAGGGTTTTCCTCGTGTATTTCGGAGGACGATCGATCGTCGTTCAAAGTCCAGGTTTGCTCGTAACGCCACAAGAGCGGGAAGTCCGAAAAGAACGTCGTACGTATTAACATCTAGTACTATGACATCCCCAAGCGCGTGCACTTTTCCCAATCGGAAAGCGACGTTGGTCATTCTTCCCACAATTTTGATCTTTTTTTCATCTGCCGAGACGAGCTGATCTTTCTTAGTAAGCATGATCAGATCGTTTTTCCTACCTTTCGACCACTCTCAGTGAAATAGCCAGCACACCTGCTCCCGAATCTATAATCGCGCTGTAAGAAATTCCCCAAATTTCTATATCGCATTCTGCGGATTCCCACGGAATTGGTTTAATCCGTAGAAAATGGTCGTCTTTCTTGATTAAACCTACCCGTATTCGATCTCAACTGCCCGTTGGACTTTCTTCGGGCGTGGGGCTTTTGGCTTTTACGTTCGGTGTTCGAGCGAGGCTGAATCACTTTCGGTTTGCTTTGCAATGCTGTAGCATTCGCTCATTGGCTTGCTCGGAGATCGAGAGTAGATGACCAATCGGAACTGGAATCCGATGGTCCAAGGCTCGGATGATGTTTAATACATCGATCTCTCCTGTGATGAAGGTGGGTCCTCCCGACTCCATTTCTCCTAGAGACGGTCGCCACTCCGCCACCTTTCGGTTCTGGCGCCGGTCTAATTGTTCCGATCATTCCAAGCCCAGGATATCCCAGTGATACATACTGATCTAGCGGGATTACCTCAGTGGCCTCTTCCGTGGTGGCCAGGGCACTTCCCCCGCCGTCTACTTCTTCCATCAAAGCTCCAATTCGTCCAGGTCCGTTAGCGATGGGAGCCACAGCCATAGGCGCGACCCTGATTCGCTGTTGTGGGGGTCGGTGGGGGCAGTCACGGGCAAGATGTCCTGGCTGATTACAGGCATAACAGACATTCAGATTGTTCGCGGCTCCCCTGAGAGCAGGTGTCGGGGCTAATCCTTGCTGCATCGGAGGGGCGCGCACCGCAATGGGCCGCATATTTCTCATCATGGCTTCTAGTCGAGCATTGTGCTCTCGCTGCTCCTTTTTGCTTTCCTGGATTAAACTAATCAATGTTTTGGTTAGTTCGAAAATGGTCGCTGATTCGTTCGTTCGTACGCGAGCCTCAATCGGTGGCGGGGGTAACGCCCTGACGGGTGGGGGCATCACAGGAGTGGAGGTGCTTGGAATCTCACTTAGGACTACTCGTTTAGGGGCTATTTGTTCCATATAGGTGACAGGTCCTGACACAAAATCCCATGTTTTCAAACTTGTTATGTAAGGCAGCCAACTCAGCTCTCGCTCGTGCGAGTTCGGTCGAATCCCCTTCTCTAGGATAGTCTTCTCCTTCGAGGAAGTTCGCCGCGAACTTTCGTTCCATTTCTTCCGCAGCAGCCATGATTTGCTGCAGCGTGTGAGTGATGGGGGAAAATTGCTTACGCAACTTAGCCCTTATTGTTCGGCTGCGAAGTCCGTCAATGAACAGATCTCTCCCTACTTGTTCACCTCGCTCAGTTTTTACGAACATTCGGTAGAACCGGTTTCGATATTCTGCCACGGATTCGAGAGGTTTTTGCACTCGGTCCTTAATCATGTACAGCGCTTGCTCGAGGTGAACATAATCAAATCGGTTCATGAAATCCCGTTCGAAGGTCGGGAGGTCAACCCACACGTAGGTACTAAACCAATGATGAGCGTCCCCCCCCAACCGAGCGGGAATGTTGATCTGTGGTTCATTGTCAGTATACTGTTGTGCTCTAAGTGTGGCCAGCCATGCTCCTGCGAGATGGTGTGCCAGATCAAATAGATAAAGATCTGGTGGCGTCATGGGAGCTCGTGCACGTGGGGCGGGCTAATTCGGTGGATTAGCATTCGGTTGCGGAATCGGGTTTTGCACATTGGCAGCCATATTGGCTGCTCGTTGGTTAGCTGATCTGCTTCGGGTGACGATAGGGTCGCGTCTATGCGCGTTCCGAGGGCGAGGTCGCCCACGGTTAGCCAGGTCACCTAATTAACGTGCTATCAATCCTAAGACCCTAGCCACGTGTCGGGCTTCGATACCAACCTCACGCACGGCGCGACTTCCTGACCGGAGTGGGATGTGGGCCTGGAAGTGTGAAAAGGGGTGTGCCAAGGATTTTGGGGAAAGTGGGGGAGTCTTAGGGATATGAATCCAATTGGGCGAACAAGACGCGGGCGCCGGGGACTCAAGGCCCGATGGGGCCGGGGTACTGTGGATGACGGTTTACGGGGAAGTTCCTCCGCGGCGGAGGTGGTCCCGAAAAATTGGGTCGTTGGGGGTCGCCACGTGGCGCAGCCCGCTGCGTGTTTGGGTTGGGCCTTCGGAATTCCGGGGTCCTACGTTCGCCGCTGCGTCGGCAATTTCCGCAGGGCGTGCTGGGCCAATAGGGGGCTATGGCCGGCCACGGAACGACGTTGAGTTGATGATACGGGAGAAGAAGGCGAAAAGGAGGGAAACTGGTGGTGATGACGATGAATCCCGGGTGGATGAAGTAGTAGGTATGGTCAGGGGAAGGGAAATCAGAGCATCGGGGGTCGCTAGAGGTGGCGCAGTGGAATTCCCGCGGACACAGTCGATTCTCCATATGACAGGGGTATCGCAGCCTTAGGAGTTCGTTTATCCAAGGGGTGAAATAATCCGGGTCG